AGATAAAGACTACAAGATTCAAGAACAAGCTTGAAGCCCTTGAGTTTAATTTAAAGTCGAGATCAAGATAAAGTTCAAGTTCAAGTTCAAGTTAATCAAAGATTCAAGAACAAGCTTCGAACCCCTTGAATCCAAGATCAAGCTCAAGAACCCTAAAATTATATCCGAAAAGGCGAATTTAGAGGAATCATAGAGATTGTAACACTCACACTTTGAAATAATAAATATGATTGTTGCGATATTTTTTCGTTCTTGATTATTGTTTTCTCGACGTGAATTTTACTGTCTACACGCGCACGCGCACACACATATATATATTATGTGCATGTGGTTTTCTAATTATTTGTATTTTGAACAATTTATAAAATTGCGTACATATTAGAACTACAAATTACAAATTTTATGTGTAACTGTAGATGTTTTATTCAATTTTACTATTTTTTTTTACAAACTTTTTGATTTTAAAAGTAGATGGTTTATCTTTTTAAATTGAAATTGACATTTTGTGAGTGATCAATTCATTAAGATAACAATTATTTATCTTTTTTTTTCAACCGGCCAAATAGGCCCAAATTTATTTATTAAAGAAATGCAATAAGTATTAGAAGTACAAAAAGCCCACAAATTAGACCAACAAAAAAGGAAACAAACTACAACAACAAAAAGTAAAAATATCTGGAAAGTAGCTCAAGTGTTCTTGCTTCTTCTCAGATTCTTGGTGTGAAAATTCATGGAACACAGTTGCTTCCAACTATAGAGCTTAAAGGTAAGCTTGTTACACCTCGAATCGTAGATACTTTTAATCATTTCGCTACTTTCCACTTTACTTATGTTGTTGCATCTGACTTGTTTTTGTTGCGAATCTGTGGATTGTTTCTCGAGTTCTCGAAGAATCCGATCAATACAGATCTTGACTATAATTAAGAATCTCATGTTGCTTCAATTGATGTTTTGTTTATCTCCCAGTCTAAGATTTCCAGAAAAGATAATGTACAATAATTTTCAGATCTAAAATCAATGGGTTGAATCACCATTGAAATTATCACCTTCATATTATTAACATTCTCTTTATTTGTAAACGCAGTGAATTGAAGATAAAACCAACTTTAAGCTTTTTATAGCTTTTGCAGCATCATGGTAAGACTTAAAATTTAGATCTTTATTGTTACCTTAACATTGTTTTCCTTTTCCATGATGGTATGAATCCGAAGATTAATATCACCACCACAATTAAGAAAATAAATATTAATGTAACTACAGTGAATTGCTTGCAACAAATAAATGTATAATACAAAAGAAAATAAGCTACTATAATACTATGTGAATCCTGGTTTCATACCATATGTGACACCTCAAGCTCTCACCACCTGAACGGTATATTTAACCAACAAAAACTATTTCAGATTTCACTTAATATATAGCAGATTGTAACCTTTTCTCTGATTACACACTTATGTTTTAACATTGTATCATATTAGTAGACCTACATTGTGGATGTCAAAAGACATGCCTGTTTGATTCTTATGTTTGGTATGCTCTGCTTGTCTAAGTTAATAATTTTCTTAGCTTGAACTGGAACCTCTGAAAGTTGTTGTATTCAAAGCTACCTGCAAAATCAAAAACTAAGTCAGCAAGATTATTTCCCTCCCATAAGGAGTGTTGTACACATGCTCAAAAGCAATTTCCTAGAGACCCTAACAGCCTAAAGATTCCTTCCCTTCGATGGCTTCAAACCACCAGAAACTTCTTTCATTATGGGGGAAAAGTTTTTTTCATTAGTGGGGATAAATCTTTCGAACTCAAGAATACAGGGGATACACATTCAACTAGTTTTCATTAATAGAAAGAGGAAGGAGATTTACAAGTAAGATAAGCTTAGATTCACAAAATCTAAGATGGATATGTGAGACTCTTATACAAGCTTCAAAGGGTTCTGGACAACTATACATAAGGTGGGGTAGAAAACAACAACACAACCTATACAATGTCTACCAAAACTTCAACATATATGGTCGATTTATTCGCATTGAAGTATGGCATGACTCCTCAAAAGGTGTAGTAATCATTCCGGAGATAAGCTATAATAGTGGACGGACGAAGTTTGCGACTAAAATGATTCAATTTTTGGGAAAAAACTACAAGATAGGGTCATCACCATTACCGCCTCCATTAACAAAATCGTATCGAACTGCTGCTAGCATAGTTAACTGGCCAGAAATCAGCCAACAAACAAGCATAGGTGGAGTCATTGACCACCCTCTCCACAGAAGCTTGGTGGGCACTTTCAATGACCCTTTCTATCACAGCCCCAACCCTGATTTAATTCAAAAATGGTTTCTCACTAGATGGAAAGTCACCCCCCTTGATCACAATCAATTTCTCTTTGAGTTCCCTTCCCGGCAAGAGTTAATAAGAGTTAAAGCAGGGGAATGGTTTTGGAATGAAAGGCACCTAAACTTGTCGTGGTGGTCAAAAGACATCAACTCTCAGACATGTGAGCCATCAGAAAACATCCGACTGAAAGTATTTGGGATCCCCTTAAGCGCTTGGACCATGGACACTTTCGAGCATATAAGGGACAACTGCAGAGACTTCATTGGTGTTGACGAAGACACAAAGAACAAATCCCACTTTCACTGGGCCCGTATTTGCGTCAAAAATTTAGCCAAGAAGTTTTCGGTGAGTTTGAATTTCGAATCTGCTGGTTGGCTATTTGAATTAGTGATAATCACGAAGATTCGGTCCTCTCCTTTACCCGTTGGTCAAAATTCTGAGTCGGCTAGGGTTGAAAAGCTGTTGGGAGCATAGGCCCATACAGTCCCACATAACACAAAGATTATCTGGGCAATAAAAAGGGCAAGTCTTATTTAATTCCAAATGGGCAGGCCCAACACTATTATGGGAGAATTCTCCAGCCTTGAACAATGATTATTATACCAAAGGCCCAAAGAAAAGGAAGACACACAAGGAAAATTACAGTACGCAAGTTTGGAGAGCCGCCATTGCCAAAGCAGACCCATGTAGCTTCAGACTTTTGAGTTCTATCTTTGTAGCCTCCTTCGACCCTTTTGAACTGGAAATTCAAGCCTCCAATCACCGGAAATTGGAGCATGAGGCAGGGGCATTCTCTCAGCTTGTAGCAGATGATGAAACAGAAAATCCAGTGCCTTATTTGGGTACGTGTAGGCAATATCCAATCACCACCATAGTTTATGACTCTAATTCAGATCCCTTTTCTCAATTTTCAATAGTCTTCTTCCTCTACAGTAGCGCAATGATCCTTCACCACAAATTATTGATTCCCCTACTGTGGTGGAAACATCAAAATGGACAAAATTTACTATATTGAAGGCATGCAAAGCACTGGGGGTGAACATTTCAGGTTTCGAGCATGAAATCTTGGACATTATACTAAGAATGGAGGAAAAGAGGAAATCTCAAAGCAACAAATGAACTTAAAAATTGGATTGGGGTCTGCAAGATGAAAGTGGAAAGAAAGATAGGGGTATGTACCACAAAGTTCATTCCAGATGATAGTTAAAATTCTCAACTGGAATGTGCAAGGTCTTAATAATAAATATAAGAGAAGTACTTTGAAATCTCTTATCCAAAAGTGGAGAACAGACATTGTTTGTTTATAGGAAACCAAAATAGAGTCTTGGAATCCATCTCTAATCAGACAAATATAGGGGAATAAATGGCTTTCATGGGCAGAAGTTAATGTAATTGGCACCAAAGGTGTGGTATTAATTTTATGGGACAAAAGAGCATGGAATTGTGTTGAGTCAAAGGCAGGGGCCTTTTCCATATCATGTAGATTTGAGAGCACATCTGAAGACTTCAAATGAGTTTTCACTTGAGTATACGAACCACACACCGATCCAGAAAGGGAGGACCTGTGGTTGGAGTTAGCATCAATTAGGGGATTATGGTTTGATATGTGGGTCATAGGAGGAGATTTCAATGTATGTAGATTTGAGGGTGAAAAGCTAAATTGTACTAGAAAATCTAGTGCTATGTAGGGGCTCTCAAATACCATTTTGGATCTCGAACTGATCGATCCTCCTCTCCAAGGAGCACAGTTCACCTGGTCAAGAGGGGAGGATACTTTTCAAGCCTCAAGAATTGACAGGTTCCTTTATTCATCAGAATGGAGCGAGATGTTCAGGGCTATCAAACAATACACAATGCCTAAAGTAATTTCAAATCATAAACCCATCATCTTAGAAAGCGGAGATTGGGAGACATCACCATCCTACCTCAAATTTGAGAACATGTGGCTCTAAGCAGAAAACTTCATTGATATGATAAAAGGATGGTGGCAATCCTACATTATACAGGGTACCCCAGACTTTGTGTTGTTGCAGAAACTCAAAACCTAAAGAAAGACATTTCTAAATGGAATAGAGAGGTGTATGACAATATTGAAAGACAAATAACTAAGGCTCTTTTGGAACTAGGGAAATTGGATCAATTAGCTGAACTCACAATCCTTTTTTTCACCACAAGAAAAAACACCGTCCTTGAATCTTAAACTACAGCTTCAACAAATTGTAGTAGCTGAAGAGATCTCATGGAGTAAAAAATCTAGATGCCTATGGCTTAAAGAGGGGGACAGAAACCCAAAATTCTTTCAGAGAATGGCCAATTCACATAGAAGGGGTAACTCCATTGATAAACTACGAATAATAGATGAATTGATTGAAGACAAAGTAAGGATAAATGATGGCATTTTGGGGTACTATCAACAAATTTACAAGGAGGATGAATCCTAGAGACCCTCAGTTGTCTCTAAGAACCTGCCCACCCTCAACATAGAAGAAAAAGACGAGCTTGAGCTCCCTTTCACTGAATTGGAGATTTCTAATGCTCTCATGGCTTGTGCCCCTGACAAAGCCCCAGGCCCTGATGGTTACACCATGGCTTTCTTCTAGAAATCATGGTGCTTCATCAAAGATGATATGCTAGCAACTCTCAATTTCTTTTACCAGAATTGCCAAATGGAGAGATCTTGCAATGCCTCTTTTATTGCTCTAATTCCAAAGAAGAAAGGTGTTGTGGAGCTTAGAAACTATAGACCTATAAGCCTCATAGGTAGTGTCTATAAGATGTTGGCTAAAGTCCTAGCAGGAAGGATGAAAAATGTGATGAATTCTCTAGTCTCAGGGCAACAAAGTGCATTCCTAAGGAATAGACAGATAACTGATGCATCCTTGATTGCTAATGAAGTGCTAAACTGGAGAATGAAAAGTGGTGAGTCTGGGATCTTATGCAAATTGGATATAGAGAAAGCCTTTGATCAGCTCAACTAGGCTTATCTAATCAATATTCTGAAACAAATGGGCTTTGGTAGTAGGTGGATAAGATGGATATTATTTTGCATTTCAACTGTAAAATTCTCAGTTCTGATCAACAGAAGTCCAACTGGATTTTTCTCTACTAAAAAAGGGTTGAGGCAGGGGGATCCACTCTCTCCTTTTCTATTCATTCTTGCAATAGAAGGGCTATCTCAGTTGTTAACTAAGGCTAAAGAACTCCAATGGATTCAAGGATTCCAAGTAGGCAGCAATCCAACCACCACTGTCATGTCTCTCACCTACTCTATGCAGATGACACTCTCATTTTTTGTGGAGCTGATAGGTAGCATGTCTCTAATCTCAACACCACTCTCGTAGTTTTTGAGGCCATCTCTGGACTCCATATTAACATGCTCAAAAGTATGATATATCCAGTAAATTAGGCGGCCACTCTAGAGGATCTTACTAGCATACTTAGTTGCAAAATTGGGTCATTACCTACCACCTATCTAGACTTTCCCTTGGGGGAAAGTTTCAAATCCTCTGGAATCTGGAATAGAGTTATTGAAAAAATGGAGAAGAGGCTAGCCACGTGGAAAATGCAATACCTTTCCATGGGTGGTAGGCTCACTCTTATCAAATGTGTCCTAGAAAGTAATCCTACATGTTGTATGTCTTTATTTCCAATACCAGGTTCAATTCTAAAGAAAATGGATAGGCTCAGAAGGAGATTTTTGTGGGAAGGCAACATCCTCACTCATAAGTACTCTCTTGGTAAATGGCAATCAGTTACTCACCCTAAGACTCAAGGAGGCCTAGGAATCAGGAATCTCAAACTCCATAATAACAACCTACTCATGAAGTGGCTCTGGAGGTATAGACAAACTGGGACTGGGTTTTGGAGAGACGTCATCAAGGCTAAATATGGCATTCAAGATCACTAGTGTCCAAATGAAAGCAATGAACCCCATGGTGTTGGGGTATGGAAACATATAAGTAGTTTCCAAGATTATTTCTTTCGGGAAGTATCCTTTAAGGATGGTAATAGACTCAAGATCAGATTTTGGCAAGACAAATGGCATGAGAACGCTATGCTAAAAGATGTTTTCCCCTCCTTGTTCCAGATAGCCTTCAATAAGAAGCAACTATAGCCTAGAGAAAAAAACTTTTGGGCTCCTATTTTCAGAAGGAACTTTCAGGATTAGGAGATTAATGACATCCTTTTCCTCCTAGAAACTTTGGAAAGCACTACACTGGTGGTTGAAGATCAAGATAGGATTCTTTGGGGTAATTCTAAGGAGAAGGCCTACACTGTGAAAGAATGCTACAAAAACATGAGCTCCCAGAATGACATTCTTCAATTTTGGCCTTGGAAACATGTATGGAAAACTAGGGAGCCTCTCAGAGTATCTTGATTCACCTGGACAACCCTGAAGGAAACATGCCTAACACAAGACAATCTTAGGAAAAAAGGTGTAATCCTCATCAACAGACGTGTCATGTGCAAGCATACCAATGAGAGTGTTAATCACCTTTTTTTTGCACTGCCCTGCAGCAGATAGCCTATGACATTTTTTCTACTCTATGATTGACCTACAATGGGTAATGCCCTACACCATCAAGGATGCCTATGCCAGCTGGATATTGTGGAGAGTTGACAAATCCATCAGAAAGATCTGGAGAATGATCCGAACAATAATTTTTTGGAACCTATGGAAGGAGAGAAACAACAGATGTTTTGAATGGATATCAACCTCTTTTTGCGTAATCAAGGCCAAATGTCTATTTAGTTTATTTAGTTGGCATTTTTTTGCCACTGTAAACAGTGTTGTTAATTTTTGGGTTTTGTTAGTTCTCTATCTCTAGTACAGTAGAGTAGTAGGGCCCCTTTTAACTGTTTCTCAAGTTCTTTCCAAGCTAGCTCCATATATTTCTGGTTGGAGCAGCTTTCTTATACATTGTGATTTGTGACTTTGCATCTTCTTGATGCTTTCTAATATCATTTAATTACTTTACTAAAAAAAAGAGTGTTGTACTCTTACTGTCAAAGCATTCCTTAGCCTATTAATGGAGTTGACCTCCACTGTCATTCTCCAAGGCACTTCCCACTCTCCATTCAATATATGCACCAATGCCATAGAATCAATTTTAATTATGACCTTAGATAATTGTTTCTCAAAACAATACGAAAGTCGTTCTCTTATAGCAATTGCCTGAACAATCAACTTAGTAGAATCAACTATTTTCAAACCTCTAGCACCCAATATATCACCTTTAGAGTCCCTCACACAAAAGGTTGCAGAACTAAGTCCTGGATTTCCCCTTGAATCTCCATATGTATTGCATTTCTACCAACCTGTAGGAGGTGGACACCATTTTACCAGTTTATATTGAAATTTTGGCCTATATTCATCTAGAATTGCAATCATATGAGGCCAGGATTTAGGAACATTTGCATAACCAAACTTCTTTATAAGCAATCTCTGAGTCAAGTTAGTGATATCCCATATCACCTTATCTACAGAGTATGTCCCTCAATGCAAAATTGTGTTTCTTCTCCTCCATATAATCTACATGATGATGTTAGGCATTACCTAAAAAATCATCTTCTGCCTAGTGTTTCCTTGACAATCCCACCACCTTTTCATAGTTTGTTTCACCTGGATCCTCGGAGCAATTATACCAGCAGCTTGTGAAAAATACTTCCACACAATATTGGCCATTTCCCCTTTAATGAATAAATGTTCCACAGTCTCTCTCTTTCTAGAAAATTACAACAATTACATAAAAGAGATAGGTTAGGATTCCAGTTAGCCATGGTAGCTGCTACAGGGATCTTGTTTGTCCACACTCTCCATCCAAAAAAAGATATTTTAAATAGTAGCCCAACTATCCAGATTTTCTTATACCATTCAGAAATTGCATTTTTTCTCCTCAATAATTCCCAAGTAGTCTTGAATGAAAATTGTCCAGAACCTGTTACAGTCCACCATGATTTGTCAATTGCATTTGTCTGCTTTACCTGATCTAAATGAATTTTAACATATTGCACACCTCATCAGATAAACAATACTTCATTTCCTCATAATCCCATCCTTCCTCTGTCATAAAGATGTCTACCCTAGTGATAGGGTAATAAGAGTGTTGTGGTTGTAGATGATATAATGGACCTAGTCTAGTCCAATTATCATACCAAATAGATACAGTTCCACCCTTAGGTTCCCACCATATATGCTCTTCAAGATACTCCCTATTATGTAACATAAATTTCCAAAGTTGTGTACCTTCCTTCCACTGAGCTAGTGTTGGTATTTGCTTCTTACAGTACTTGTTCCACATATAATTAGCCCATAAAGTATTTTGAGTTCTAAATCTCCACATACATAGCTTGTGACACTGCAAATAGTGATTTAAAACTCAATCCACCTTCTTGCTTAGGCAAACAAACTTTATCCCAAGCTTCCCAATGTTTACTTCTCCCATTAACCTTATTATTCTAAAAGAACTTAGCAAATATTCTATGAAGCTCTTTTAAAACACATGTAGGAGGAACAATTGCGGACAACACATGAATAGGAACACAAACACTAGAGATTAAGACTTCTTTACCCTCATAAGATAGCATGTTCCCTTTCCAAACTTGTAATTTTTAGTTGACTCTCTTTATCAGCTCATCATAGTAAGATTTCCCTTTCCTAGCATGAGTTATGGGGAAACCAAGATAAGTTAGACGAAATTGACCTCTAGTAAACCATGTGCACTCCTCTACCAACTTTTTTACCTCTCCTGCAACATTTTGATGAAGAATGAAAGCACTCTTGTGCTTATTTATCTTTTGGCCAGATTCAGTTTCATATTCCTGCAAATATTCCATTATTCTCTCCAAAGAATACTTATTTGAAGATGTAAAGATGATGGTATCATCTGCATACACCAAATGGTTCAGATTATCACTACACTTAGGTAATCCATAGCCTACAAATTGATTATCATCAATCAATGTATTTAGTGCCCTACTGAGAACCTCTGTTGAGATAATGAATAAAACATGAGACAAAGGATCTCCTTGTTTTACTGCTCTAGTAGAGTGAAAGAATCCATGTGCCTGCCTATTAATAAGCACAAAATACCAGTTGCTAGAAATTATTCTCCATATTACATCAACAAACACCTCTGAAAATCCCATCTTTCTTAATACCTTCATTAGAAAAACCCACGAGATCCTGTCATATGCCTTGGACATATCTAGTTTAATAAGAAAATTACTAGGCTTTCCTCTCTTCTTGATATCAGAAACGAATTTCCTGAGTTAATAAAACATTCTCAATAATACTTCTACCCTTTACAAAACCGATTAGGAGATATCAATCTAGGTAGCAAACCTTCAATCCTATTATGCATCAGTCTAGAGATGATTTTATTGATGAACTTACTCAAACTAATAGGCCTCAAATCAGTGAACTCATGCACTAACTCCTTCTTAGGAAACAAGACCAAGTTAGTATGAGTGATCAATTTAGGCAGAGTGTTACCCCTGAAGAAATCAATAACCATCCTAAGAATATCACCTCCCACTATCTCCCAACAACTTTGATAAAATCTTCATTTGGACCACAACCACTATCTTCATCTAATCCAAAAATAGCTTTTTTAACTTCATTAAATCTACAAAGATTAACATTTTCTTCATTAGATATGACTTTAGGAATATATCTAAGTAGTTCAAAAGAGTCTGCTTCTGCCTCTTAAGAAAATTGTTCTTGAAAAAAAGACACCGCCTCAGAGACAATATCGATATCATTCTCCAACCAATCTCCTTGTCTATTATGCATTCCTTGGATATGTAACCTCTTTCTTATAACTTTAACTATACTATGAAAAAACCTGGTATTTCTATCCCCATTTTCTAACCAATCATACCCTGTTTTTTGCTGCCAAAACTTCTCCTCAAAATGAAGACACTTCTTATATTCTGCTTGTGCTCTTTGCAACACCTCTCTATTAATCACAGAAGGTTCTTCTTCAAATAACTTCTCTTTGATTTTCATAATGTCCTCCCTAATGAGAAGTTGCTTAAAAATATTTCCATACGCTTCTCTGCTCCATCTTGTTAGGGCAACTTTCACGCTTTTAATATTCTCTTTGAAATCCAAATAAGGATTATGGGAGCTAGTAGTGCACCAATTCAGTCTAACCACTTCCGTAAAAGTATCATTCTCTGTCCAAAACTTCAATAACCTGAAAAGTTTTCTATGTCTAACCACATAGGTTTCACAATTCAGCAACATGGGAGCATGATCCGATCCTGTCCTTGGTAGATGTTGAACTTCAGTATGATTACACCAAGTGTTGATTAATTAACACCCGATCCAACCTTTCAAAGATGCAATCTTTCCCAGCTCTCCCATTCCACCAAGTGTAAGGGCTTCCTTTAAAATTCACTTCTTGTAAGTCACAAGATGAGATCCAAGTCTCAAAATCTTCATAATCAGCCGCAAGAACGGGTAAGCCACCTATTTTTTCTTTAGAATTTAAAACCACATCAAAATCACCCCAATCAACCACGACTCTCTAATTATTGTTGTAAGTTGATCAACATCTTTCCACAACTGTAATCTGTCATTAGCATTGCATTTAGCATAAACCAAAGTAACAAAAAAATTATGACTTTGATTAGCCTGTATTAACTTAATAGTTAACTGTTGCTCTGTATCATTAATCACTGTAATTTCAATATCATGATTTGCAAAGAACCAAATCTTTCCAGAACAGTTTGCACTGGCAGTAGGCATCTTTAATCTTCTCTTGTATCTGTTAATTTGACTGACATTTTGAAAAGGATCTACCAATCCAATAAATGAAAATTTATGAAACTTATGTAGCATTTGCACCCTTTGAAATGCTTGTTGGGACTTCACTGATCTAATATCCCTTGTTTAAGCCT